AGTCTGTGAACGACTGTTTCTGAACTGCAGGGGGACAGACAAACTATGATACTTAGTTGTCCTCTTTGTCGGTCACCAGTGGGAAAAGTCTATACGTTATGGCAATCCACTTTCAACAACATCCCGAAGTACGACATCATGATCGCATTCGCTGTTTCCACAACACACTGTTAGTAATGTGATCCGACAGAGTTTGTCTGTCACAGCATGACAGTGGAAATGTTCGTTTCTCCGGAAAGATGCAAACCTGGTCATGAGAATCGGTATGAACAGACAATCATCAGTTTCGGTCCATATGCACTGAACAGTGGAACTGTGAACTGGGAGAACAAGTGATGGATTGAGTGTTTTTGTTTGTGTATGTACAAGAGGTAATCTGAGCCACCGACAGAGAATTTAATCCAAATGGTGCAGTTCTGTCAAATAGGTTAATGGAAGTGATCAGTCCATATGGAAGCAGATCGCGGAATGTTGTGATATAGTGCCGAAATACAGTTTGTTTGTTTGGTTGGTTGTTCCCTGATCAAGTTTGATCGATTTGCGGTAGCCTCGAATTGTGTGTGTATATATATTCCTGAATCCGTGCTCCACAACAGAGTAGAAACTCATTGTGGGATTTTGGGTTTAACTCAAACGGGAAAAAAATGGTGTTTTACGCTCCCACCCTTTCCGACCCATCCATCCATCCACCCTCATTCGAGGAGTGGGTGAAAGTTTAGCTTGCCTGATAGAAAACAGAGCGAAAACGCCGCTGCGCGCGCACACGCACACACAGAGGATGAAGGCGAAAAAAGGCGAAATCTACCAGATCAGAAGGATACGAGTTGGATCGGGATTTGAACGTGGAGAGTACACTAATACGAAGCAATAATACGCATGTATGCAATCGTGCAGAATAAACCAAAAGATATATTGATAAAGTGAAGCACAAAGGGTGTGTGTTGCCAAACGATTTGGAGGCGAGTCAGGCAGCGACAAACTGAATGAGAGTTTTATGGAAAATTATTGTAATAATTGTGCGACCTGGATTAAAACGAATACATATCACTGCTCGGAGTGAAACCTATATGTGTGTGTTTTGGAGAACACGATCGATCAGCTACGACAGACTTTTTGTTAGCCAATTCATCCCATCCTAACAGAGACGTGACCAACTACGTGAATACGGTGGGAAGGATTTGACTGGAAAATCTGGTCTCAGTCCCGTATAATAATCAGTTTGGAAAAAACGGAATGATATGGA